TAATAATAAATAATATTTCAATTTATTTTCTAGTTATAATTATTTTCACACTGTTCAACTTATTAAATATGTTATCAAACATTTAACACATATCTTTATCGCGTATATAACATAGGCTTCTCTTGACATTAGCCTGGCAAGCGATCGATGCAAACTTGTGCTCTTAACATGAAAGTCGTGTTGTTGAAATTCAAGTTTCATTGCAGTCACGCATTACACAGACAAGACTTATATCAATTACTGTTAATTTTCATATTATCCGTGTAAGGGAATTCACTGTAGGAACAAACTTTAAAAATATTAAAATGCAACGGTTATTAGCGAGCATGCTAAAATAAATTTGAAAGTTTAGCAATAAATTTTAAACAAATTATAGTTGAGTGATGAAAATGGAACTTTGTTAAAGTTGAGCAACCAATAGTATTTTTGCCCTATTTATTTCACTATTAATTATTATGCTGAAATAAATTAACATTATTGAAATTTTTTAGAATAATTTTAATTATCGCTATAATGATGAAATATTAGTGATATGACGTCTATGTGGAACAATGAGATTGGATAGTTCAATTTTTATGGAAGATAGTGAGAGGAGAAAGAAAGAGATGTGAGATATAATAAGTTATTATATGATCGATATTCTATCATTATAATAATAAATAGCATCAGTCAATTTTTTTAGTTACGATTAATTTTGACAGATACAGACAAAATAACATGTTACGTTACAAAAAAGAGCTCAATTATTAAATAAATTCATAATTGTCCTTTGTACCCACGTGGAATTGCAGCAATCACTTTTTCAGTCACCGGCTACGTGTCGTTGCCTCCAGTAAAGAATTGAGTAGTGGCTTGAATTTCTCCGACCAACATCACATCCAAACCCAAACCCACAACTTTCATCTCCACCACCGGTTAATCTAAAGTGATATCATTCATATGGGGTTTTATTTTTTGGTTCTTTTTGATTTATCATTACCATTTTGTCCTCAAATTGAATAAAAATCTTAAATCTTATCAATTTCATTTTTCGTTTGAGTCTTCAAAGTAATGAGAACTCGAAAGAAACATTTGTAATAATGTATGATTTTGCTAAATTAAATATTGGTACTTTCTTTTATATGTTTTTTGATTTTTTTGTTAATAAGGTATTAAAAAAAAAAAGTCGGGGGCACCCGTGGCCCCCCAACCCTTCATCTCTATATCTTCAATTCTGGGACCCCCTTACTTCAAACGGCTGGCTCCGTCCCTGAACCTAGGGATTACCAGGCAACTCTTTCGCTCTATAAGGATCACATGGCTTGTCCGGTCAAATTTTTTTCCAAACATCTTTTTATTTGGTCAAGATATTCTTGTTGATTCGACTCTTTTCCATTCAATTGTTGCTATTATTAGAAGAGAACGATTGCTCATCGTCTATAAGTTGCGCTACTCCGGTTATTCTCCATTCTTTGGTAGTGTAATGTTGCTGGTAAACGCTGATGGTGTTTGTGTGTCACTTGTGGTGTGGTTGGGTTGTTGCGGTGGGCCTAATGCTCTATTTTATGGGTTTTGTTGTGTTTGATTAATTGTGTATGATGGCTGCCGTTCACGATTTGACTCCTCAATTATATCTTTGTGGGCTATGCTGTATGTGATGGTTTGATTAGGGATATACATGACTCTTATTTGATTTAAAAAAATTACTTGAAAATACACTACGAAAATCATAAAAGCAAAATTACTGACAACTTGAATCCTCCGAGAATTAAGGAAAGTAAGCCCCCGTTTGTCTACCATTTTTCAAAATATTGTTTTCTATAATAATCAATCTTCACCACACATTCAAATAATAAAATATTCTACACATAAACCGATAAAGTTTCTTTCAATTTTAACCACACATTCTCCAAAAAATACCATTCATTACACCATTTTCATCACAATAATGGTAGACAAACAGGCACTAAAATTGTCTCTTCATGCATTCAAATTCAAAATTTCAATAGAGTATTTTTAATCCATAGTATCTTGGTTCTTCAACTTATTGACCATTGTCACGGTTAATTGTATCTTCTATAAATTTTACATTTTCAAATGATTAAATTAGTAGAGCACGATGGTTTTTTTTAATTGGTTAAATCTATAAATCGAATATCAATGAATTAAATTAGTACAAAACTTGTAAAATAAAAGAAAATTTTAGTTAAAGCATGATCTATCCATTTTGGGTCCACTTTTAGAATACACTTGAAACTTCCATCACCACCACAAATTCACTAAGTTCCCGCAAACATCATGGTTCTTAATCAAACAATAAAAGTTCTTACTAGATGATTACACGTCTTGGCCAATAACTTCAGCTTTCGATTAATACATTCTTATCGATTCTAAACTCTTCTCTTATGATTCCTTTCGCATTTCTATGGTCCATAAATGCCATTGTTATAAGATGGTGTTTGGACCTTACATTGGTCCCCCACAGTTTGTATATGATCCACAATGATTTGATAATTGACCTGGACTTAACAATAAGTGACAAGTACAATGTTTTTTTTATGCCACTTATTTTAAAAGGAGAATATTCTTCTTTTCTAAACTATTATTCGTATGAAAACTAGGTAATAATAATATTACTTGACACAAATTGAATAATGCTGGTATACCAGAAAATGTATGACAGATAAAATGACAGAATATGTGTTGACATGATGTGATTTGATAAAAAAGTTGACAATGTTTTAAATAGTCTAATGATAGATTGTCACCGACATTATGTTAAAGATTATATCAACTATTATGTTTGTGTAGCATAATTGACACAAATTTGTGTGGAAACAAATATGGATTAGTTGTGCTGTATGCCATGTTCTAAAATGCGCGAAAATGCATCGCCTATGAGTGTCTAGGCGCGATGCAGGTGGAAAACGTGTCGAATTCGTGGTATGCGCGAAAAATGCGTTTCTGTTCTAAAAGACGACATAATGCGCCGTCGAGGCGCGCCTAGGCGGCGCATTATCTCGTCTAATCCCTTCTTTTTTTTTTTTTTTTTGGTAAATTTTTTTTATGATATATTAAAAAATCTATTTTTTTATATAAAAATATATTTAATACCTTAAAAATAATTAAAATAATATTAAAAATACGAAACGCATTATGACGCTTATTCTTCGCATTGACACGCCTAAACTTGTGATTCTTGATTCTCGACCTCGACGTCTCGCAACGCATTACGCCTTTTAGAACATTGACTGTATGATATTTATTGAACATAATAATAATAATTAATATTTCAATTTATTTTCTAGTTATAATTATTTCCATGCGATTCAACTTATTAAATACGTCATCGAAGAATTAACACATAACTTTATTGCGTATATAACAGGCTTCTCTTCACATTAGCCTGCTGGCAAGCGATTAACTTGTGCTCTTAACATGAAAGTCGTGCTGTTGAAATCCAAGTTTCCATTCAGTCACACATTACGTAAACAAATGCTTATGCCAATTGAAAGGCATGATTGCCGCACGATTAGAAAATTAATGAACTCTATTAATGCCCATTTTATCCGTGTAATAAATTTGAAAGTTTAGCGATAAATTTTAAACAAATTATGGCTAAGTGATCAAAATGAAACTTTGTTAAAGTTGAGCAACCTATAGTATTTTTACCCTATTTATTTCACTATTAATTATTATGCTTAAATAAATTACATTGTTCTAAAGAGCGACACATATGCCGCAAAACACCCCGCGCGTTTTTTTTTCTATTCTCTTCTATTATTATTATTTTTTTTTTTAAACAGTATTTTATAATTTTATGTATTTGGTATCATTATTTTAATTATTAAATTATTTATATATTGATTAAATTTTTTAAATAATATGACAATAAGAAAACTTTATTTTTACACCTAGACTTGTCTAACCTGAAGTTTGACCTTCACGTCTCGTTACGCTTTACACTTTTTAGAATATTGACGAATTAGTAATACTGTAATTTTTTAAGGGTTAGATTTACAAATAGTCATCCAATTTTATATTTAGCGTTACAATGGTCATCCAATTTGATTTTATTTCACCATAGTCACCCAATTTTATACTTAGTATAAATACGACCACCCAATTTGATTTTATTTCACCATATCCACCAGACCACCCAATTTCGTGTAACATTTCATCATGTTACCAAAATTCTTTTCACCATTTTCGTTAATTTTAAAATAGGTAAAATGTTAACTTTGCATTACATATATAAAATAAATTTTAAAAAAATAAAAATAATTTCTTAATTATAAATTTTTTTTTAAAATAAGTTTTTATTTTATTTTAAAAACATTTTTAAATAATTTTTTTTAATTTTATTTTTTAAGGAACATTTTTTAAAAATAACTTTTTATTTTATTTTTCTAAATAAATTTTTNTAAAAAAGCAGAATACACATTGTTGAATCGTAATTCTCAAATCACAACTCAACGACTCATTAATGATAAACTAAAATTCATAATTCAAACAATAGTGCAACATAAATTATTTACCCAAAATCACAAATTCACAAAAAAGGCCATGTTTGGGAGGGATTATATTTTTTTACAGTAAATCAATTCTCGTTTTCAACCACACATTATTCAATAAAATAATATTTTCCATCACATCAATAATTTTTTCTTCTTTTTCAACTACACATTTCCCATATATCACTATTCAGAATCAATTCTTCCCCCAAAAATCTCTCCCAAACAAGCTCTAAGTATAATGTTTGGTGGTCATTATGAAACAAAATCAATTTGAATGACCATGTTGTCACTAATTATAAAATTAGATGGTTATTGATGAATTTAACTGTAATTTTAGAATATTGATGAATTAGTAATACTGTAATTTTTTAAAGTTTTCTTTTAATTACGATTATTTTTAACAGATACAGACAAGATAACGTCTAACATTACAAAAAAAGAGATCAATTATTACACAAATATAATTGTCCTTTCCACGTGGATTTGTGCCAATCACTTTTTCAGTTACCGGCTACTTGTCGTTGCCTCTGGTGAAGAATTGAGTAGTGGCTTGAATTTCTCCGTCCATATATCCAATCCAAATCCACCACTTTTCACCTCCACAATCACCAGCTCCTCCGTTAACCGGTTAATCTCAACCGTAAAGGTAAACGTCCCATTCTGCCCCTGCAGTATTACACCGAATCCCTTCTTTGCCACCACCAGTCCTTCCTCTTTCGCCGCCGCCTCGATTTTCTCAATTATTCTCTCCGGTGGTTCTTTCGAGATTAGCTTTTCACCATCAACGCGATTCCCATTGTTACTGAACAAACCAGACAGATCAAAACCGGAGGAAAATGAGATTATGTCAAAGGCATTCAAGAAATCCTTCTCTTCACCTTGGCCAAAATTCTTTAATTCGAATTCATTCTCAATTGGGTATTTAATATCCTTGTACCCCTTTTTGAACCACGGGTCATTGAGAATTTCATGAATGGTAATCCGGGTACTCGGGTTCGGGTCTAGGAGCCGGGTTAAGAACCGCTTTAGCTCCGGCGATGTCCATTTTGGGCACCTGAATTCTCCTTTGTAGATTTTCCTGTACATCACCATCAAATTCAAGTCGTTGAATGGCAAGTAACCCGCATTTAATACATACAGTATGACTCCGCATGACCAGATATCGACTGTTGCGCCGTCGTAACCCTTCTTTGCCAGGATTTCCGGCGCCACGTAGGCGGGGGTTCCGCAGAGTGTGTGGAGGAGGCCATCGGGTTGGATCTGATCCGACACGGCTGAGAGTCCGAAATCTGTGATTTTGAGATCCCAATTCTCGTCCAGTAACAGGTTTTCCAGTTTCAAATCGCGGTGGAAAATGCCGCGGGAGTGGCAGTAAGCCACGGCTGAGATTAATTGCTGGAAGTATTTGCGGCTGAGGTCCTCGCTGAAGCGACCTTTCGCGATTTTGGCGAACAATTCACCGCCCTTTGCAAATTCCAGAACGAAATAGATTTTGTTCTTGGTGGCCAGAACCTCATCGAGACGCACGATGTGGGGATGACGCAGCCGGCGCAATATAGAAATCTCCCTCTTGACATGTGACGTGAGGTTCCCTTTGAGAATCCTCTGCTTGCTCATGGCCTTAATGGCCACACTCTGGCCGGTGCATAGTTCCCGCGCGTGGTACACTTTCGCGAAAGCACCATAGCCAAGGAGCTTCCCCAGCTCGTACTTCTTGAAAAGCTTGAAGCCTAGCACTTCCTCGCTGCCATATGGCAGTGAATTGCCATTGTCGGCTTGAAACTCTGGCATTACTTGTACCAGAGACCGTAAATATCTCTCCTTCCTCTAAATTCTCTTCGTCTTGCATTAAATTATCGAGCAAATTTAAATTTGCCCGATAGAGGAGATGAGCTCGAAAAGAAAAAGACTGAGCTTCATATTTTCAATTTGCAAGTAAACAGAAGAATAAAAAGAAAAACCACACAAAGAACTCAAAATCTTGTCTTCTAAGAACAATAATTAACCAAAATGCTCGTTTTTAGAGAGAGAAAATAAGATAGTATTTGGGTACAAGTGTTAAGAGTTCCGACCAAATAAGGAGGGATATTTAACATGTGTTTCAATGTGAAACGACGTCGTAATTTCTCAAACACGGTGCCCGCTAAATAGCTTGAAAGTGAGGCAATAATATTCAGCCACGTGTTGAGATTTCTTGATTTTAGGTTACGACATTATTTTAATCAATCATGAACGTGAACGACCGCGTTTTAATGTAGTTTTTTAAGTGGATACGAATAAGTTTCAAGATTGTCAATTTTTGCTTATCCATTTGTTTTACCTTTCTAGAAGTGAATCACACGGAAATCGTGGGAGGTTGATTTCGAATTCGGTCAAATTCAATTTTAGCTTAAAATCATGTTTGACGAGGTTTCTATTTTTACTTTTACTTTTCGTCAAAGTTTTTTTAAAAAAAGTTAAATTAAATCAATTTTCCTTACAAATTCTTCGAATCAAATAAGATTATCCAAACATGTTTAAAAACAACTTTTTAATCTTAAAAATTACTGAAATTAAAATTTGAGACCTAAAAGAAAAACATTGATTTTCTAACAAATTATTTATTTGTGACAAAAGAACAATAACCTTTTACTTTTCAAAAATTGAATTATAATCAAATTACTTTATATGGGTTATCTTTATCTTTATTAAAAAGTTGGCGATTACGGAATGTAAAGACTCTCAACTGATGTGAAATTGCACTAGCAACAGTCCTCTGAAAGCAAATAATTTGGTGGATTTCTACATTAGTTAATTAATTTAAATGCTTGTTTGGGAGAGCTATGAAGTCGCTAAAATGTTAAAATCAGATCAACAAATAATTTTAATCGAACTTTATAGAGGACACATAATTATTATCCACTTTTCACAACTCATTTCGTGAAATTCACCATTCGTTTTTTATTGAAATCAATATTTTATCTCCTAAACAAGCATGACGGTTCATTTAACAGAAATGTCAAAAATTGTTTATGAGACTAAGAGATACTTTTAAATAGGAGTGGACAAAAAAATCGAAAAACCGATCAAATCAACAAAACCAAACCGACTCGATTGTTTAGGGTCAGTTTGAATAAAAAAATCGGGTTGGTTCAATTAATTTTAACCATTACAAAGTCGAGTTGGTTGGTTGCTAACCCTACCCGCTAAATTTTTTTCTTTTATTATAAAATTCAGATTTTTAAACTTAAATAATAAAATAATAATAGCATAAATATAATTTTTTTCCTAAATAATTTGTCTACCACCTACCTCTCTTTTACCAAAATTTCAATAGAAAAGAAAAAGTAAGGAGAAGAATTTTGTTAAATCCAAATTTAGATTGTACTATTTTTTTCATTTTGGTATAAATGTTTATTGATAAACTATCGAATATATGGGATTATTTTAAGAAAACTATCCATTTAGCATTTAAATTATATATATTATTAATATTTCTAATATAACATAAATACCCCCACCCCCCTCCACCACCCCTACCGCTCCGGTGACTATTCCGGCTATTGTTTTGATCACAACTCATTTCTGGCGACCGTTCCAACGATTACTCCGATTCCGACGATGATTCCGATGACCGTTTCACAGCCACCTTATTTCGGCGACTGCTCTGATTCCGATAAGTGTTCCAACTCCGATGAACATTTTTAGGTCACAATTCAAAATTTTCATAGGTCACAATTTGTTTGTCGGTCACAGATCACAAACTTTATAAATCACAATACTTATTTACGATCACAAACATCACATTAATTATATTTAGGTCACAATTTATCAAAATTTGGATCACAAATTAATAATTTTGAAGTCATAAAGTATTTATTGGTCACAGTTTATCTAATTCATTGGTCACATATTGTTTACTGGTCACAAACTAACCAAATTACTGGTCACAAACAATCAAATCATTTGTGACCACCACCAAAATCAGCTGTGACCATTACTTCGCCACTGCTTCCGTCAACGGCACCACCACCGTCGCCACCCCATAGCAACGTCAACATCTTAAAACTAACACCACACCCTCCCCAAAACCACTATCACCACCCCCAAAACCACCGTAGCCACACACACCGTCAAACAACACAGAACACACAACGGCTACCACCAACTTCAGATCTACAATTCGCAGCACACGATCCACCACAACACCCCGACACCGCACCGTTTACGACCACCACCTCCAAAACCACCACCGCACGACCACATCACACCCAAAAAGATCTGCACATCCACGAGACCTAATTACTCAAAAAAAAAAAAGAATGGAACTGCACATCCTCCACCACCGCCCCAACCGAATCGACGGAGCAACGGTGGAGTCCAAATAACACAGCACCGCACCGTTTACACCAACGCACACACAGCAACCATCGCCCGATCCACCACCGCCGTACCTTATGCACACACGCCCAACAACATTGTTCGGCAGAAACCACCACAGATCTGCAACCATCGGCAAAAATAAGCCATACAACCACCACTACCATCCATAAAATCAAACTCCAAAACAATAAAAGAAAGAAACCGCCAGTAGGAGAAGAGAGAGAGGACATCGACGTGAGGAAAGAAGACGTCGCCGGTAGATATGGGAGGAGTCATGAGCGTCGCCATCGTCGCTGGGGACTGATAAGAGAGTAGACGCCGATGGGGAGGAGAGAAAACGGCTGTGGATAGAATGAATGAATTTTAGGGTAGATTTGGATTATACTAATTGGGGTGAAAATTATATAATTAATATTTAATTAAATATATAAACCCGATTTTTGAAAAGTTCAAATTGTAATCTGATTTTTGAAAGTGGTATTTTAAATACCTATTAGGGTGTAATTTCCTCGTGATTTTATCAAGTTGGATTGGATTGATTTGTATTGGAATTCATCCAAACCGATCAAGTCGATTTTCGGGTTGGACCAGAAATCAACTCAACCCGAACTATGCTTAAACCTACTTTTGAACATATTGAATAATTTTCTTAAAATACTTTGTCTGAATATAATAACTTTTAGAACAAACTCATATAAGATAGCTTCATCTGAATTCTTCTGCGAGAAGTAAAAGTCGTGCCAAAAAAGTCGTAAGTTTACTCTTATATGTAGTTGTACGATTAGATCAGAACTTATAGCAATCTAAGGGCAGTAAACTTCACATAACATAACGAAGCTCGACTCAATAATTAAGTATATTAGACCTAGAAAAGCTATATTCATAACAGCAACGAATTTTTCAAAGGAATTATTAATTAAAAACACGCGTGGTCGGTGAAAACCAGAAAAAATAAGAGAATTCAGATATTTTAATAGTTGTCATTTAATATCAAGATATCTCAAATGTGAGGCGGGGCTATAAAATGTTGACAAAAAACAGCTAATACTTGAAAACAATTTATAACTCTATTTATCATCGACAAAAACGTGAGAGAAAAAAAATTGACTGTAAAAGTTTAATATTTGTTGACAAGTCAAATGTGAAATCTATTGGATTTATCAAAGATTATTCATGGCTACCAACCCCTAAATCTCCCTTGTAAAAGAAATTATTGAAAATTGGATTCAACTCTCTCCCCTTCTCTCTCAGTATTTATAATTTTTCAATCATGCTATGCGAACATAAGATTGACATAAAAACTGATATAATGTCATGTGACATTTTATCATTTGATAGTTTAGAACACGGTTAATTTTTTCCATCAAATCATCTACTGCCACATATAATTATGTCAATCTTTCTGTTAGGGATGTCCGTGAGTCGGTTCGGTTCTATCCAAAGTTTTCTAAGGTTAATCAAAGGTTAATCAAATGTTAGCTTGTTTCTGGACATTTTAGTAGTACCAGACCCTGTATCTATAAAATGTGATACTAAATCTTCAAGAAAACTATAGATCTACGGCAAATCTGAAACTTTGTGGACCGATCTTCGTGAAAAACCAAAAGAAAACAAGTTTTATAAACTCATTTGGTGAAATCCTTTAATTTCTGTAACTTAACTTTGTGTAGTTAGAGCTTCTTG